TAATCGCACTGTGTTTATACTCAAGGTCATCCTTCTTTGTTTTTCGTGGGATGGCTTCTGCTCCTTCGAATGATGGGACGCGTATAATTTATTACGTTGATGAGGAGGATACGCCCTATCTTGTGAAGCTTAATGCGCCGTCAGATTCCGTAACACTAGGAGACTTTAAATTGGCTCTTAGTAAGCCAAACTGTAAATTCTTCTTCAAATCAATTGATGATGATTTTGGGTAAGAGCCGCCGTATAGTGTCGTAATGGTAGTATTTTCTTTTTCTGTGTTTTTTCTTCTTTTTAGTAAATTTTCGTAATCTTTCATTTAATCACGAGGAGTTCGATTATTGTACAGCAGCTGTTGTTGCGTTTTTATACGTTAGCATAGTTAATCCGATTTGCGCATTCTAGCCGAGACCAGTCTGTTAATTTTTTTGGAGACTATTGGTCTTATTTGTTTATGGCCTTTTTTGTAATATGTCTTATTCTTCATGCCCACTGTGTTTAAACAGGATATTTTACTTGAAGGACGTTTATTCCACTTCTTTGTCTATATCCTTTTCTTAGTGTCGTGAAAGAGGAAATCACCGATGACTCTGCTAAGCTTCCGTGTTTTAACGGGCGTGTCATTTCGTGGGTACGTTAGGATTTTGATTTACTATTGGTTTAAATCATCAAGAAACGTGTTTCTTAAGCGGCTTAGAAGTTGGCGTTTATTTTCGTTTAGTCCTGTTGTTAAAACTGAAGGTTAAAGATTATCACGCTTACTACTTACTCGCGTTTTCCATTGTTTTACTTTGGATATCGTGAACTAAATTTTGTTTACACTTTCAAAACTAAAAACTGCTCTTAAGACTTTATGTTTTGAAATCCCTTATTCTTGCTATTTCATGCTACTCCAGTTCTCAAAACTGTTGTGCAAATGACTCTTTTTGCCTTCAAGCCCATATATGTCATTCTGTCTTCCAACTTAGTTGGTGTCCAACGACAATTGTGCCGGGAGTTCTGATGGTGGTTCGGGACTGAACGCTGTCAAATTGGCTGCTCTTGCTGGCGCTCAGATTGGCGATGGGACGTAAGCCATCTCATTTTTTCACCTCTAATACAAACTTGCTTGGCATACATTTTTTGGAGTCGATAAAACAATATTGATACTTTTTATCTTCAATTTTGGGTGCTTACCGTCCGTGGAACCATTTTTTACTTGAGTGCTTTTTGCCCAGCTTTACGTCTCTTCGATTCTATTAAACAACTCTAATACGGTCTCGTAATTTCCCGCAAAAAATGGGAAACATTAATAAACCATTATCAATCTTCAGATTGCTTATCCGTTTACATTTGCTGATATTCTTTGATTCGTTGCACGCAACTAGGGTGGTAGAGGCGTTCCTTTTAGGGGAGGGAAAGTTACCATTTGTTCTTTTGTCCCTGTTTTTCTCCTAGGCAGCCACCGGAGAAGAGTCGGTTTGGTGAGAAGAAAATCAATGGCACATCCAAGAAACCCACAGATGAATGCGACACCTGCACTGAAGACACCGAATCTGTTCAAAGTGGTGGTCAAGGTTAGATTTTTTCGAAAATACTAATTTTTTGGCAATTTGTGTTTGTCCTAATTCTTTTAAGGAGTCTGTCTTATATTTTGGACTGTGATGCTTTTATTTTATTTCCTATATATGGTTATAAATAGTGGAGGAGGTTCCATGCTTTAGTGTATGCAATTGTTTCTACTTTAGCAGGCCTCAAGACTACTTGAGATTCCCACTTTCTCCGACCGTTGTTCATAAATTTCAGGTATGTAATCCCTTTACGACGTTAATTGACAAAGCTGTTCTTAATTTTAGATCACATTGCGCCCCTTCGCACCTTCCATGACTACAAACACGGTATGTTCATTCACTTTTCGTAGACTTATTTTACCGTTAATATTGGCGAACATTTTTTGTCATTAAGCTTAAATTAAGGAGTTAACGGTCGATTAGGTATATCAAGTGAAGTTCTAGTGTCGCTTACAATCGGCCGTCTGCAGCACAATCAGACTTACGTAGCCTCCAACATATTTTTACCCGAAACACCCACTTCCCTCTTTTCTCTTCTGTTGTGACCCTTTCGGTCGGAGAGGCCGGTAAATAGCGCTGATTGTGTAACTTCGTGTGTACGTTTCTTATCGGTCAGAAGGGCTTGAGAGCAGCCACGCGATCGCTGTGATCAACTCCCACCTGCCTTCTTCCTTCCCTTAGGGGGTGAAATGGCTTTTCACTAATGCCTCGATTCATTTGGCTCAGATAGAAGTCAGTTTGTGATTTTGAGGTCTAAACTTCGTTATCCAACGGGCCACATTCATTTTCTTCTTCATTCGTCAGGTTTTTTCTGGTCGTTGACAGTTTCGACTTATCTCTCATCCTGGAAAGTTGCCTTTTTGTTACAAATTCGTTATCTTTTCTTACCAAAATCGTTATTGAGCAGTCGAGTCTTAGTGGCCTAAGAACCGTTTGTTTTGCGTGCCCTTAGCTAATCTCCGCATAAAAGTAAATGATGTGTAAAATCAGTACTTTATCCAAATACTTTTCTTCAAATCGTGTTCTTTTAGTCTTTATACTGTTAAGCTTTACATAACCGTGTCATTTAATTTAGATTGCTACCAATGGCTTTTACATGACTTCCTTCTGTAGAAATCCGGCAAGACAATGCATTTCTATTTAGATGTTCGGTAAATCAAGCTTATAAAATAGTTTATTTGTCAGGTTGGCAAGTACCTGTGACAGCGTTGATTGTCTCTTTATTGATGTTTGTTGCCCAAAGTTGGAAACCCCCCAGCTCATTTGAACCCCTATGCAGTGTGCCTGCCGGATTTACCGTCGTTTTTTCGAAAAGCTGGGCAAAAGGAAACAGCTTACGAAAGTTGGCCAAACAGTTTTGAGCACTCCTTTTTGCTCTCATCGCATAGGATGGTCGTCAACTAAGCCCAGACAAAGATTCTTTTGGTTGAAATTCGTCACTGTTCGTGTTTTAACCGACCTTGTTCACCACTTTAGCTGAATAGGTGGGTAGGTTGGTGGGCGAGGGTGACTTTTTCTGTTGTCAGTCCAGGACCTCCGCCATTGTGGCCACCGTCCACTGCTGCTCCACTTTGGGGACGCTGCATGCCCGCACGTAGCATGTGCGTACGTTTCCACATGCTTCCGTCACTAATGCAGTTGCTGGTACTGCCGCTGAGGATGATCCTGTTTCATCTCCCTACCTTGAGGTGGCCGTTTGGCGTCTCGGCTCGTGTAATCTTAGGGTAGTTTTCAGCAATGAACCGTAAGGTTCAAATGAAAAACCCTAATATGCTGGTTTTAATGTGACAATCCCTTTGGAATACCAAGCTGAAATCTGGTTTTTTTAGTTTAAAATTGTACAAATTCCTTTATTTTGTGTAATGTGTGTAGCTAACAACATGCAAATCTACGTGTAGTCTTAATACGTGTATGGTGATGAAGTCCTGCTGACTATTCTCCATAGCCTTTTTGAAGTTGATTACGCAACAGTACGCTAACGCTACTGAGGCGAATACACGAGTTTTCGTTTTAGTTATTTTATGATTGGTTTCAAAACAGAAGTTCTACTACCAGCAGACCTATGGTTATCAAGTTTACTATCTAGCTGCGATTCGCACCAACACCTCTATCCCTTCAACAAAGAAATAAATGCCTTTCAGGTCTTTGCACTGCTATTCACTCATGAACGGACTTACACGGGAATGGTGTGGGATTACTGGGCTTTGGGACATGTAGCTTTATTATTTTATTGGAGTTTACTAATAGGAGTGAGGTTGTGAATTAAAACTAGGTTCATGTGAGCACCGTGTTTTAAAACCAGATTTAATCAAGGGTTTTTCGTTGCTGATTGCCTACCAAATTTGTGAACTTGCATCTTTTTCTAAGAAAATTCTTAATCCATTGGAATGAGGTAGCCGCGACCAATCGCTTAACGATCCTGATTCTATCTTCTGCTAGGGGCTAAATTGTCAAAGAATGGCTGTTGTGTGTCGGGGAGCTGATATAGTAACACCTCTCTTCGAGTGAAACTTAGCATTGCTAACGAGAGTGAAACAGGTACCCAAAGACAAGGCAAGCGATTGGTCTCCAGACGTCTGCAACCCAATTGGCAGAGTAAACTACTAGACAGTCGGTGGCTCGGGAACCTCGTACTCAACGCTGTAGTTTCAAAGACATCTATCATGCTTAATGGATTTGGTTCGCTGATTTCAGGCAGTCGGTACGGTGGCAGTCACCACTACCACCGACACCATTTCGGTGGAGGTGGAAACGGGGTTTACGGCGGAGGTTCGAGTGTCTCCTCGGGTCGCCATCATCACCACCACCACATGCGAGCTATCTACGGTGGCGGGGGCGGTGGTGGCTCTAGTGTCTACGAGGCGCCCTCCTCTATGATGAGCTCCGACCTCGAGTCGACCAGTTTCTTTGAATCAGACGGGGAGTCCAGCAGGTTGGTTTCGTACAAATTGTAAAATATGGATCACTTCTCAGCGACTATTAGTTTTTTTTACCAGCTATAATTTCTAAAGTTATAATACATTATTTCAAACTATTTTGATAACTTATCCAACCCTTGTCCTGAAGGCTTGTGAATTTCGATAAAGAACATCTAAAATAGTGCCATCAAATTATAATGCATTACATAAAACACTTCGACATTATGACA